TTTATTAACAGTTTATCTATGGAGATTATGTGTGGCTATCCAGGTCATAGAATCCTGATGAATATATTATGCGAAAACGGGCGTTGGAACGGGTGATTGAACTCCCTCTGAAATGGCAGTCAAAAGAGAAACAGAAACTATTGTATGAGCGGGCGTTCGAACGCCCGTTCAAGCTGCTCGTTGGAACGGGTAGTTGAACTCCCTCTGACATCGGCGGAAAAATGTAATAGAGAACTAGTAGGTGAACGGGCGTTAATAGACCATGTGGAACGGGTTGTTGAACTTCCCTTCACGTGAAGAGAAAATGACAGTTATGAACTAGTTCATGAACGCCCGTTTTATGGACTCTGCGAAACGGGCTTTTGAACTCTATTAAATACAAATTTGTGAACCGGTGTGGAACGGACACCGTTGAAAAATTATATCAGCTTTGAATGGGCTCGGAACGGAGTTCAAAATTTTGAACGGGGTTCCGACGCACGTTCCATGTTTTTTTTTCGCTCTTGGGCAAACAGTTGTTTAAATCTGGAAAACTCTTTTTATTAATCGACTGTTATTGCTTTCCACTTAAATTAGAATGGCCTTTAGTTTTTGTAGACAGGTAAGAAAATGGAGACTGAGTTTCTTCAGTCTGAAGCATTCGTAGAAAATATTATGAAAATAGGTATTGTTTTCACATGGACAGTACTGTGTTCAATTATAGCCCTAACACTCTATTTTCCTATGTATATCTGATGTCGGAAGCCTGTGACTTACTAACTTCAGTTATATAAACGTTTACTTCAGAAATAGTACGCACAATACTCACACAATACCTGAAAGTAAAAAGCTTTACTTAAACAGTCTCGTAAAAAAGTTACCGAGTGATGTACTAGTCGAAACTTGTTCCCTCATTTCTTGTAGTAACAGTTCCAGGCTATCATTTCCACCTAGTAATTCAATTAAACGTCGTTTGGTCTTGTCAACACATGCTTGCCACAGTTTCTTTTGTTCTTCAAAATGTTTTTGTTCTAAAACAACGATAACGATGGCAGATGAAATGATGTGCTGCTCAGTTGTGTGTTGTGATTGATAGGAGGACAGTGATTTGTTTGTCAGTTTTTCAATTTGTTCATTTGTTAAATTCCAAAGACCGTCAAATTTCTGTAAGTCGATTAAATGTCGGACAATGTCTTGTTTAGATTTTGGCCATAGTGGTTCCGTTGACGGTGCTGCTTTTTCACTTTTTACTTTTTTTGCTTTTGCTGAGAACGTACTGGCATGAAGGGTAAGATCATCCGATCTCCTTTCGATAGTACTAAGTGAATTTTTTCGCTCCAATATATTATTTAAATTACTACGCATTGTGTTGACAGTTGAATTGATGTCATTTTTCACATTCACTAATGATACTAGTCCCGTTCTCCTTGTTGCTGCTGCGGATTGATATGAACAACTGCTCTTGTTGTTTGACGAAGAGAACAACCTAAAACCGTTCGCCTGAGGCATCCGTTGGCATGGCAATATTGCGAAACTTTGGTCCACCATAGAAGATCGAAATCCGAGATCGAGTAAATGTTGATCATCAGCTGATATCTGAATTGGTACTTCACGCAAGACCATATCAGTATTACTTCCATTCGCTCTCTTTTCAATGCCAACAAACGAGGTGTGTGGTGAAAGAATATTGTATTTTAATGAGAGATCAAGAATACGCTGTTTACTGTCATACTTTGGAGGTAGAGGTATAGTGGTCTCCTTTTCCTCTTCTTCTTGTTGTTGAAAACGTGTTTGAAGTGAACCTTTGTTAACAGCCGCTGAAGACGGTTGTTTGAAATGTTGAAGTTCACGAATCAAGGCTTTAGCTGCTAGACGATTAATCGTTTGATCATCCCCATTAGAAGGTACTCGATTAATTTTAGCCAGTCCAAGTTGTACTTCGTTTTTTGTGCAGTTCAACTGTTGCAGTGTGATCAAAGTTGTCTGCCTTTTCAATTAGACCATAA